GTCTTCTGATCCGCATGTACAGCAATGACGGTCCCTTCCTCCGACGGGAATTTCATGGTTAAGTGAGGGGTGGACACGATGGCTCGGAGTTTGTTCAGAGAGGGTCTGCCCAAAAGAATGTTGTACGATGTGTTGGCCTGCACCACCACGTAACGCACCTTGATCCGCCTACGCTGGTCTTCTCCGAAGTAGGTGTATAGGTCTATGGTTCCCCGAGTGTCCACCCTCTCGCCCGAAAACCCTACCAAAGGCTCGTTATAAGGCGTGAGCTCTTGTTCTGGAATCCCCAATTGTTCAAACGTCTTCCAGTATAATATATCGGCCGAACTTCCCTGGTCTACCAGAGTCTTTTTTACGAGGCAATTGTTGATTTCTACGGTGATGACCATTGGGTCGTCTTGCACCGGATCAATGCCGTGGAAGTCTCGGTCAGTGAACGTTATAGGGGGCATACGAACGGGAAGCGTTCGTCCTATAGCGTTTACCGACTTGACGGCCCTCAGGTGTCTCTTCCGGGCTGAAGATGAGCTCCCCCCTGCGAAACCTCCAGCAATGGTGTTTATGACTCGTCTGGGCTGATTGCGGTTTCGTTGGTCGTTTCCTTCTTGAGATCTGCTACGCTCGCGAGATCGGTTCCGGGGGGGTGCTCGACCTCGGTTGTCTCCCCTAGGTTCCCCTCTTTCGTGGTGGTAGTCGTTTCTTCTGTTATCCGTTATCCGAATGAAGTTTTGGAGGTGACCGGCCTTAACGAGATCTTCGATACGGTCTCGAAGGGCGGAGCACTCCTCGGTGGTATGTCCTCTATTCCGATGGAATTGACATGCTTTTGTCTTGTCGGCGTGAGGTGGGGTCAAAGCTCTTCGAGGAACGGCCAGAACTTCTTTGGCTAGAGCTTGCTCCAACACTTTGGCCCTGCTTGCGTTGAGCGGCGTATACTGCACATACCTCGGACCTCTGTTGTTATTCTTCTCACGATCATTGACTTCCCGGGGACGAGACTTAGGAGGCTCCTTGTCATTCTCTCTTTTGCCGAGAAACAGGTCAGATCGGTTCTGGTTGCGGAACTCGGCCAGTTCCTCCATCTGCATATATTTGGTGGCCCTTTGCCGTAGGTCGTCCAAGTCATGGGGGAGCTTTTTGCACAAGCTATTGACAAAGGGCCCGGGCCGCAGTGCTGTGGTGAGGTGATGCATTGCTACGGCCGGATCCAAATTCCGAATAGACAACGTCATTTTCCCGAACCTCTCCATGAAAGCCCTCAATGGCTCTTTCTTCTCTTGGCGTATACTGACCAACGCAATGGATGTCAGCTGATGAGGCCGACTCGTGGCAAACTGTATTACGAAACGAGAGGACAGGGATGTGAACGAATCAATTGATCCGGGAGGGAGTCGTGTGAACCAATTAAGCGCTGGTCCTTTCAACGAAGTAGGGAAGACTTTACACATGATTGCAT